AATAATCTCAGGGTCACAGCTTGCCATACATGTGCCAAAATAACCAAGATTAGTAGGAGTTACACTTGTGGGTGATGGCTTCTTTATGCAGCTGTCACCATTTTACTCATGCCTTCTTCTGAGCTGAATTAATGATGGTTAGCTCTGGGTCCCATGGGAAGGCAGACTTTTTAGTTGATAGATTCAAAATTACTCTAATTTGTAAACTGACTAGTCATCTTATTCTGTAAATGCTGCACCTGGAGTTCAGTCCCTCGGTCAGGCATGTGACTGTGATTGCGCCAGCACTTTGCAATCTGTTCACACGCCCCCAGTGCAAGCTGGGTAGAGTAGTGGGGAGCATGGGGATGTCTTGCAGCTGCTGTGTTTAGTGCTTCAAAAGTTAATCCCTCTGCTTTGCTTGCATCTCTTCTCCTTTGCCTCAGTGTGAGGGTCCTGTGTCTGGGGGCTATGGAGCTTTCCTGGGTCCTGTCTGTGAAAGTGTTCATTTTGAGTTGCATGGCTAGATGTTAAGGAAAAGATTATAAAGGGGAATATGCAGATCTTTTGGACTCAGTTCCTTATGACAGGAAGACTGTTTTTAGGCCTGAGAGACATGTTTTGGTAACCAGCTTTAGGGTTTTTCCACCTTTGTAAGTATTTTGTCTAGTCGCATTCCTGGGAAAGGGACCTTCTCTTTTTGCACAGTTGAACCTTATCAGGGCTGCCTACAAGGTGTATGATGGCCAATGTTAATTAGTAGTTCCGATTTGAATTTTAGGATACAAGAGTGCATCTTATGGTTGCTTCTGATGACCCTGTATCCTCTGTCACCCTTTCATTGAGTGGCTGTTTTCAGAAGGTGGGAAACCAGAAGAGGGTCTGCTGATTCTTTAATGAGAGCCACTGTGGAGCCACTGTAGATGATACAGCTCCTGCCAATTTAAGCATGAGTGCTCCCACTGTGGAACTGCCCAGCTTGCTATTTGATGCTTTTCGAAGGGTAAGTCCCTCTCAAAGTCCAGTTGCTAAAGGTGAGCATTCCGGTGAGCGTAGAGATGGCTCGTGTGGTATATTGTTTTTGCTTCTTATATTTTTATTCATCTTAGGCAGTTGGTGTTGGAGGAGGAGGTATGGTTAAAAATTTGCTTAAGGAAGTGCTATTGGGTAAACTGGCAGGCCTTTTCTATAACTTCTCTTTATCTCCATGACTCTCCGCTGAGTCTGGGGCTCAAAAAAAGACCCAGGAGCTTATTGGCTATTTTACCCGTCTAGATCCTCGATAAATGTTGAAATCACCAAGGAGAATTATGCTAGATTTGAGAAGGCTTTGAGATTGGTTTGTCATGCAAGTAGGGGAACATTTTTAGCAAAGCCAGATATTTAGTATGCTTTTTGACAGCTTCCTGTCCATCACAATTGTTTTCGCCTCTTAAGTTGTCCATTTGAAGGAGATTTTTTTTTCTTTGATATATGCCTCCCCATGCGATGCTGCATTTCCTGCTATTTCTTTGACTTGTTTAGGTTTTTTTTTACAGTAACTTGTTTTCCAGGTTTCGGGATCCATGTCTCTATTGCACTACAGTAGATTCCTCTATTGTAGCAGAGAACAAAGAGGTGGGTCCTGCTACAGTGTTATTGTTTTTGGGAATTGAAATTCATTCCCTAAATATGGTTTTCAACAGTTGTCCTTGTTGACCACTTTGGTGCATCAAATTAAAAGGGCTGGTAAGGTCCAATTATGGCAGATGCAGGATTTTGTGGGCCATTTATTCTTTGCCTGGTGGTTGAAAGCGATAGGCACAATATTTTGCCGGCATCTTTCTTTGGCTTTTGGTGGGCATTAAGCAATCTCCATTTCCTTCAGGTTACTAAGCAGTTAAAAACCAATTTAGGAATGTGGCGATCCTTTATATGAATTTGACTAGGGGGGTTTGACTATTTATCGTGGGAGGTATCTGTAGTGTGAATGTTGTCAGGGATATTGACTATCCAGAATTATAATGCAACATGGACACGGGAAGTCGTGTTTGTCACTTATGCTGTGTAGTAGAAGGGAAAGAAAGTTCATTTAAAAACTAACATGGTTATTCACTAAAGTGAGAATTCAATTTCAAATTTAAGGTCAAACTAGCTGAAATGGAAGCACAGCTTCCAAACGGCGTAAACGTATTCTGCACTGAAAGTATGTAAATTATTGCTTAAAGAAACATGTATGAAAAACAGTATGTTCCATTTCTAATACCTTGTCAGTTTGCAATATCTCTTAAAAACAAAGTACATCGTTTGAGAAATAAATTTTTTGCATTTGCCCATAACAATCATATATACAATAACAGGTATAACTTATTACGTATCATGGGTAGGTAACCTTGTGCACTCCAGATGTTGTGGATTACATCTCCCCTGATGCTTTGCCAGCATTATAGGGTTAAGAGCATTAAAGGAGATGTAACACTTGGAGTGCTGAAGGCTGCTTAACTCTGATATTTATTGTGTATCACTACTATGGCCTTAGGCACACCACAAATGTTTTATTCTTTAATTGAATTTACATATCTTTTTGAGTATGTGTGTTCTCAGCATTAAAGGGTTAATCTCAAAGTTTTTGTAATTCTTTTTTTAAGAGTACAGACACACAATTTATAAATTCTGAGTGTAATAGATTTAACATTGCACCAATAGGTAAGTAAAGCATAGGATATATGAATTTCACATTTTGTAGCCTTGTCTTAAAAAAAATAAAAAAATTTAAAAAAATCTGTGTTTTGAACCAGCGCAGTTAGTTTATCCATTGAATAATTGTATTTAATTCTATTCACTACACTGTCCATTTTTGGGATATCGTATAAAGCCAGACTTGAGCTAAAGCTCCTCTGGCTGCCAACATGAGTTTATTTAACTTTTTGTTTTTATGACTGTAGACTATAGTCAGGTTTAGCAAGGAGGAACGTCCATGGGTCAATGTTGATATGACTGTCTTGTACCCTTTGTCTTCTCAAAGGTATTTTAATAAGACAAATGGTTTTCTATATCTTTATTGTTCTTAGGATAATAGATTTATTTGTTTATATAATGCAAAAAACAGTGACTTCCAAAAGTTTGAGGGGTAAGCTATATATATTTTTTTCAGCACTTCACTTCCACTTATATGTTTTGGGTGGTGGGGTATATCTAAAGAAGCCCAACCTTGACCCTAACTGCCCATCCAACTACCGTCCTATCTCGTTACTGCCTTTTGCATCCAAGATCCTTGAAAGAATTGTGTATGCGAGATTTACAGACTTCCTCGAGTCCAACTCTCTGCAAGACATGCTTCAGTCTGGTTTCCGCACTAAGCACTCTGTGGAAACGTCACTGACCAAAGTATCCAATGATCTACTCCCTGCAAAATCTTGTGGTCACCACTATATCCTAATTCTCCTTGACCTGTCTGCGGCTTTTGACACTGTTGATCATCAACAGCTTCTTGCCATCCTCCGCAATATCGTCTCCCAGCGCTCTTTCCTACATCTCTTTCAGTGTTTCTTTCTCTGGCTCTGCTTCTTCTCCCCAATTCCTCTCTATTGGTGTCCCCCAAGGTTCAGTCCTTGGTCCCCTACTGTTCTCCATCTATACTGCCTCCCTTGGTAAACCCATTAGCTCCTTTGGCTTCCAATATCATTTCTATGCAGATGACACACAAATCTACCTGTCCTCTCCTGATCTCTCCCCATCCCTCTTGACAAGTGTCTCTGACTGCCTCTCTGCTATTTCTAACTGGATGGCTGCCCACTTCCTTAAACTAAACTTGACCAAAACTGAAATTCTGGTCTTTCCTCCCTCAAGTGTTGTTACTCCTGTGTCTGTCTCCCTCCAAGTCAATGGTGCTACCATCAGCTCCACCACCCAGGCTCGCTGCCTAGGTGTTCTCTTTGACTCCGACTTCTCCTTCAAGCCTCATGTTCAGTCTATCGCCAAATCCTGCCATTTCCATCTCAAAAACATTGCGCGCCTTCCGCCCCTACTTAACGCCTGTTGTGGCTAAGGTGCTGGTCCATTCCACTGCCCTTTCTCGCCTTGACTACTGTAATCCGCTTCTCAGTGTTCTTACGTGCTCCCAACTTACGCCGTTATAGTCCATAATGAATGCTGGGGCGAGGCTCATCTTCCTGTCCGCCCGCACCTCCCACTCCTCACCCTTCTGTCAGTCCCTTCATTGGCTTCCTATAAGATATAGAGCTTAATTTAAAATTCTGGTTCTTGCTTTCAAATCTCTACATAATGCTGCTCCCACCTATATATCCTCCCTTATGCACAAGTATGTCCCGTCTAGGTCCTTACGATCTGCTGAAGATTTACGTCTATCTTCTGTCCGTACTCCCACCTCTGATGCTCGCTTTCAAGATTTCTCAAGGGCTGCACCGTTCCTGTGGAACTCCCTTCCCTCCTCCGTTAGATGCTCACCCAGTCTCCACGCCTTCAAAAAATCTTTAAAAACCCACTTCTTCTTAAAAGCGTATCAATTGAACTGTTAATAGCTCCTGACTGATTTCTCTTCTGCAACTGTCACTAGTCTAATACTATCCTTACCAATTTGTGTCATTTTGCCCCACTCCCTCTGATCCTGTGTGTCCAACTTGTTTGATGGCGCTATATAAATAACATAATAATAATAATATTAATAATAATAATAATACAATATCACCTAAACATTACGTTTTAGTTTTTATATTCTGAAAACGTTTTATTTGATTTAAAATTGTGAGTGGCTAATTGGAGTACATATAATATAGAATTCTGTTATACCAAGGGTTCACATTTAATTATTCCTGTGGAAACCTTTGACATCATGGAACCCCCTCAAAAACATTTTGTGCCATAATTAGCCGAGCGTAATATTTTCTATTTTTGGAAATGTTGTTTGTTGGTATAAATGCACTAATTTCTACAGAGTGAACAGATTGTACTTAGGGGCAGGTGTGCTTCCTTTGAAAATATATACACACATATATATGTGCAGAAAGAGGCCTGAAAATGGCCGCCTAGTTTTCCCACAGCCAGATTTGTCGAGCCATGTGTGTATATATATATATATATATATATATATATATATATATATACACACATGGCTCGACAAATCTGGCTGTGGGAAAACTAGGCGGCCATTTTCAGGCCTCTTTCTGCAGCAAGGTCCTCTGCTAGAGAGTGGGGGCGGATCTCCATGTGGGGGTGGAGCTTGCATACTGGGAGACTATCTTCCATGCAGGGGTAGAGCTTGTGTGCCATGGAAGCTGCTGCACAGTGGCAGAACTAACGTAGAAAGGGCCATGGTGCAAAAAAGTTTTTGGCCCCTACATGCCCATTGGGGGGTCCTAAGTGCACGGGCCATTTGTTGGACCCGGTGTAACAGCAACACCAGCACTGTAGTTCCACCACTGCGCATCTATTACAGGCAAGACAGCTTTTCACAGAAACTGGAAAACCTTTTCAGGAAATGCCAGATAATTTCCCATGGTGTTCAGAGGGGGCTGTGGTGAAGTGTGTGTGTGTGTATATAGGAGGCTGTTTATGGTGTAACTATGGGCTGTAGTAAATAAAACTAACAAAATTGTTCAGCACTAAAATAACTGTTTAGTAGATAAGTGAGTGCACTGGATTTTCATTTTTACTGTACCTATTGGCCCCCAGCAGCACCCCATTTAAGTATGTTTAGGTGAGTGCAGCCAAACCCTTGTTTTACCCTATATGGATATATTTAGGAGTCTAGCCAGCTCCTTGGTTTTGCACTCCTCCCTGTCACAGGTGCCTCATCTCAGGACCCTATTTAGCCTTGTACTGCAGAGAACTCGAGATGGAAGGACTTCCCCAAGTGAGTAGCTCATTTAGAAGACAGAGTAGGACCTGCCAAAGATGGGGTACATTGGCGTTGTGGCAGGCTTATGCAATGTATGATCATATAATGTAGCTAAACGTCGTCTTGCTCAGAAGAGCATTGGTATCGGCCACTATTGATACCGATTGACGATAATGTGAGAGGCGGCGGTGGCCCAGTGCACGCAGGACTGGCGCGTCCATTAAGCGGCACAGGCGCCAGTCGCTCAGTGTAGCTTAATTGAGCAGAACAGAGAGTAGTGTTTGACAGAAGCTTCAGTTTCAATGAGAGAGCACTTCCTGTCAGTCCGGCCAGATACAGGAAACTGAAGCTACTGTACCGTGGTCCGCTGCGCTTGGCCACGCTACAAGAGCGATTTAATGAGGCACACCAGGGAAGGGAGAGAACCACTAAGGAGAGAAACACACACACACTAAAGGACAGGGAGGGAGTGAGGGGAGGGGAGAGGACCACTAAGGTACAGGGAAGTAAGGGGAGAAGACCACTAAGGGAAATGGAGGGGAGGGGAGAGGAACACTAGGGGACAGGGAAGGGAGAGCTACACTAAGGGACAGGGAAGGGAGGAGAGAGATACAGTAAGGGTCAGGGAAGGGAGGGGAGGGAAGAGAGAGGAACACTAAATTTTCTTGAAAACAAAAAAATCTGACTGGTATGTATATTTAGTACATTTACCACTTAATAAAAAAAATTTGCACGAAAAAATATTTAACCCCTTAGCGACCGAGGACGGTTCAGGACCGTCATCGGCATTTTTGCCTTGAGGACCGATGACGGTCCTGAACCGTCCTAACGGTCTGGGGGTACTTACCTGATCGCCGTCGTTCCCCCGGCGGCGATCAGCGTGGCTCCGGTTGTGGGGAGACCGCCTGCAGCCCAGACAGTCTCCCCACACTGATTTAGGACCCCTGTGGCCATGTGATCGCTTAACACAGCGATCACATGGTCACAATAGGTGTCCATGTGTCTGCCTGCAGGGGGACTGTCTGTGCTGACAGGCAGTCTCCCTGCTAGTGTAAAATCAAAAATAAAAATAAAGTTAATGTTAATAAAAAAAATAATAATAATTATATATGTGTATATATGATATATAGACATATAATATATCTATATAATATATGTCTATATATCATCTATATAATGCCATACTAAGTGTATTTTTATATTAATATGTACTTATATTAATATAAAAATACACTTATAATTAAATTACACACGTATATATATATAATATATATAATAACTATATATATTGTATATATATATTATTATAAAATATAAATAATAAGTAATTTAAATTAAATAAAAAAAATTTAAAATAATAATAAAAAAATAAATTTTTTTTATAAACTATATGAAATTTTATTCTAACTGTATTTTAAAATTAATATATATTTATATCAAAATACACTTAGAATGAATTTGTATATATATCTATGTATATAAAAATAAATAAAAATAATAAGAAATATACATATGTCCATATACAAAATTACATAAATAATTATATAAATATACACGTAGACTTCAAATATATAAATATGCATATATATTTAAATTCTACGTGCGTATTTATGTAATAGTTTTACATAATTCAGTAATTTTATTGATTGCAATTTAAGGGACCTGCCTGCCAACCCAGGCCGAAATTCCAGAGAATTGAATTTGCTAGCACTGTATTTTACCCTGTAACGTTCTACGACACCCTAAAACCTGTACATGGGGGGTACTGTTTTACTCGGGAGACTTCGCTGAACACAAATATTAGTGATTCAAAACAGTAAAACATATCACAGCGATGATATTGTCAGTGAAAGTGACTTTTTTTGCATTTTTCACACACAAACAGCACTTTTACTGATGATATAATTGTTGTGATACGTTTTCCAGTTTTTAAACACTAATATTTGTGTTCAGCAAAGTCTCCTGAGTAAAACAGTACCCCCCATGTACAGGTTTTATAGTATTTTTGAAAGTTACAAGGTCAAATATATGGGTCAAATATTTTTACATTGAAAATGGCCAGGTTGGTTACGTTGCCTTTGAGAGCGTATGGTAGCCCAGGAATGAGAATTACCCCCATGATGGCATACCATTTGCAAAAGAAGACAACCCAAGGTATTGCAAATGGGGTATGTCCAGTCTTTTTTAGTAACCACTTGGTCACAAACACTGGCCAAAATTAGCGTTCAATTTAGTTTTTTTACTTTTTTCACACACAAACAAATATGAATGCTTACTTTGGCCAGTGTTTTCGACTAAGTGGCTACTAAAAAAGACTGGACATACCCCATATTGAATACCCTGGGTTGTCTACTTTAAAAAAAATATGTACATGTGGGGTGTTATTCAGAGATTTATGACAGATAATAGTGTTACAATGTCACTATTGATAAATTTAAAAAATTGATGTTTTGAAACCGCAATATTCTACTTGTACCTATAGCCCTATAACATGCAAAAAAAAAGCATGTAAACACGGGGTATTTTTAAACTCAGGACAAAATTTTGAATCTATTTAGCAGTTTTTTTTAATTCGCTTTTGTAGATGAGTAAAAGATTTTTCAAGTAAAAGTCAAAAAACATGTACTTTTTTCAATTTTTCATCATATTTTTTTATTTTTTTTAAATTAAAATACATGAGATTATATAAATAATGGTATGTAAAGAAAGCCCCTTTTGTCCTGAAAAAAACAATATATAATTTGTATGGGAACAGTAAATGAGAGAGCGGAAAATTCCAGCCAAACACAAACACCACAAAAGTGTAAAAATATGCCTGGTCGCAAATGTACAACATCGCAAAAACAGTACAGTCCCGTAGATTTGTGTACGTTTTAGAGTGACCTTTTTTTTTGTGGCCAGCCTAAGGCACACCTGTGCAATAATCATGTTATCTAATCAGCATCTTGATATGCCACACCTGCGAGGTGGATGGATTTTCCCCGCAAAAGAGAAGTGCTCACTAACACAGATTTAGACAGATTTGTGAACAATATTTGAGATAAATAGGCCTTTTGTGTACATAGAAAAAGTCTTAGATCTTTGAGTTCAGCTTATGAAAAATAGGGGCAAAAACAAGTGTTGCGTTTATAATTTTGTTCAGTGGAGATAGATAATAATTCACAAATAAATCTATTGATTAGAATACTTCTTATCCGGCAAATAGATTCTGATCCTTTCTACATTATATTTTCTTTTTTCTTTTTTTATTCTTTTTTTTGGGTATGCAGGTAGTTACAACAGTGCCTGTGTCGCCACAACAGCAATAGCAGGCTCATTTTTTTTTATAGACATATGATAACAGTATTGTGGCAAGTTGGAGATGCATACATTTTTTTAAAAGTGAAAAAGGTAACGATACAGCAGATGAACTATTAACGATATGGTTTAAGCTAAATCAGTGCGACTAGCCTGAGGCATCGTGTGAGATCGGCAAGCTTATATACCTAAAGAAAGCGTTAAAGTAACCATGGTCCAAGAATCTAAGCAGTTGTAACATTGCAGTTTCAGCTGTACAAATACACTGATATTATAGTCATATTTGGTCAGGGCTTGAGTTTCTTAAGTTTAAATACACTACGCTTTTGGGGCTCGGGTCTCCCTATATATATTTGCTACCAAAATGCCATAACTCCAAGTCAGCAGGTGTGTTTATTAGCGCCAGTTGCGCTGATTATATGAATTGTGCTAGTCGTTGGAATGTATGCCTCTGTAGTGTTTTACATATTACTAAACAATGAAATAAACAGATAAACAAGCTGGAACGTGAATGCATCTGGACAATTTGCATGTAACATGTTATTTGCTGTTATGGACAGTTCTGCTGTGTAGGTTAGACTACATGCTATGTGTGATATGAGGGTGATTACTGCTGGTCATTTAGGTAAACTATATCGAGTATTAGATCATTTTAACGATTTTAACGGTAACTAGCATTTATGATTTTGAGTATACTGTTAGCAGTGGCAATAGGAGAGCGTCCCAAGTCCTGTTGTGTATCCAGCTGGCCTCACCCGACGCCGCTGGTGTGCTTCAGGTGGCAGTCCAGCGCGTAGGCTCGTGACAGGCAACGACCCTTCTGTTGCTCGCCATGTAGTTTGCTCCAGGTTGGGTTGAGGGTTGAGGTCTCGCCGTTCCAGCGGTCGATGTGGCCGCTCGCAGTAGACCGCTCTGAGCATGCCGTGACCTGCAGGTTGCAGTGCTTGAAGGTTGCTGGCGCTGCTGAGTGGTAAGTGGGTCGAGTTTGTCTGGCGGTCCCGCTCAGTTGTG